ATAATACTAAGTTGTCAGGTAAGATCTCCCTATCAGTACAATAGTGGCATGATTGCTGTAAGGTAGCTCATCACTTTCTCTTTAGATGTGAGACCTGCTCCATAACGGAATATCGCACGCTTTCTCCTGTAATTATGGTCAGAAACACATGGCTATGGCAGTTATAGATCCTAGGATAGAACCTGCTATTGCTATTTTGCTAAATCGTCATGGTGTCAAAATTACCTTCTAGATATTTATGTTTATGCCTATAAGGTGGCTGCTCTCAAACTTGGTCAGAAAAGCTTCTCTTTGCAGTGGACTAGCAGTCACTGCACAGACACATATTTGGCCAAAGTGGTGATAATAAGAGACTGTGTGCTCAGTCCTAAATGGGATGTGTTTACGGATCCCTCTTACTCCCCGAGTATGAGGAGGAATGCTGCTTAATGCTATCTTTTGGCAAGGATATGGCTATCACACTAATGACTTCATCGCAGCTGTGTTTATCTGCATAATATTTGCATACTCTCAAGCCAGCCCAACTTCCATTCATGCTGGGGTGTGTTTCTAAGCCCCACCCCTTACTGAGGAGCTGTGAAGAGTTGATAGCGGTTGGAGGAGAGAATTGTTCTATTTTTGAAGGTCTTCCTCCTTGTAGGTTTCCCACGCTCCAGCAAATGACTCCACACTCAAGTACATATGGGCCAGGTTAGTTGTACTGAATGGGTTATCAAAACTACTACAACCAAAAGAAGATATGAAACAGAGATGAAGACATGTTGAAAGAGATACAGTGGCAATTACAGGAGGGAAATGAGAGGTGTACATGATCTTATTAAATTAAATTATACAAATGTGAAAATCTCAAAAATAAAGAAAAACATAATAAAAATTAAAAGATAATAATAGGTAAGCAAACCTCTGAAACTTAGAAAAAATATTAATTCTTGTCAACAGCAGGCACAGGTTAGCATTTAACTACCAAGGATTTATAGATAAGCACAGGCTATCCTTTTTTGTGTGGGCATGACACAGCTTTGTTATCTGCCAAAGGGCTGATATGTTCTGTTTTGTTTATAATAGTTTCTAAATGTTCTAAAGAAGTCTTTCCAGCTGTGGCCCTTGGGTTTGTTGTCTGTCTGTGAATATCTTCTTCCACTTTCCATATCTGGTCAATATCTACTGATTTTACATACTTAATTAGACACACTTGAAAGTTCATTATCTGTTATGAAACATCAATAAATTTAGTATATTTCATGCCTCCTTCCTTCTAAACAGATACACATTGCAATTAAACATAGGTTCTCATGATAAGACTGCAGAAACAGCAGTGGAAATTTAGATATGATCTTTATAATAACACAAATTGCTGTTCCCATTATTTTAAGGTGTATGAGTTTCTTTACCCAAATGACTTTGGCTAGAGTCTTCAAGCATTCCTGCCATGAGCAAGGAAAGAGGTAAAATGATATAAATAACACAAAATTTTCAGTCATGAAACCTGGTATTTAAAGCTAATAATCCTCACAATCCTTAGTAAATCATTTACTCTGAGGCTTAATTATCTACAGCTTAAAATTGGGGGAAAGGGATTGAATTAATATTATTAAATAGGTTAGTATAATATGAATAAATAGGTTAATTTAATGTTATTTTACTTCACCACTCTAAACTTGTTGCTAGTAAACATTAGAATTTTAAGTTTAAAAAACAAAGATCTTCTGTTCTACAAATTTTAAAAAATTATCTTTTCAAATAATAACCTTGATATACCTAATTTTTGCAAAGAGTCTTTTGTAAGATAATGTTTATCATATAAATTGTACATTTGGAAGTGGAAGTGATTGCAGTAAGGCTAGGAAAGTTTTAAGATGGTTTAAGAAGACAAAGTGATAACACTAATTTTATTTGCAAGTGATATCTACATGTTCTTGAAAAGCACATAAGAAGCAGTTTTTAAAGTTCTCAGATCAGTCAAGAGGAATTAAACATCAAAAACTTCCTTATCTGGAAAGCATATCTCATTCATGATAGTGTGTGTATGTACATACGTACAGCAATACACATATAAAGCACACACATATACACATACATGTACAATAAATTTTCATAGGGAACATAATATATACATGCAAACAATACTTATACATATATATATATAAAACACATACACTCATATACATACATATATAACTCATACACATATACTTACAACACAAACAAAGATACACATACATACACACATACAAAAAACACATAAAAACACACACACACACACATATATATATATATATATACATATATATATAATACATATATACACATACTCATATATACTTACACACAGATACATGTACAGGACATTATAAATATATTTAGGACCAAGTGCAATGGAAAAAAGGAAGAGACTCTAAATCTTTCAGGATGATTGTAAAAAGAAGACACTATAGATGCTATATTGCAGAAAGTTCGGTATTTAAAATTATAATTCTTTTAGAGATCACATGCAAAACTTGTGTAGACAACAATGATATGGGCTGTGATACTATACATTTCAAGTTTGAGGGAGAGAAAGAGTTCCTCCTTTACTTCCTGTCTGTGGTACATCTCTTTTACTTGCAATATTATATTGCCATTTCCAACACTAGATTTCAGAGCTACCACAGGAGTCTCTGAGAACGGCATCCTGCCATGTCACCGGGACACTTAAACTAGTGTTGTCAGCTGCATTATCTTCCAAAGCCTATGTTTCATCCCGGTGTTGGGAATACAATTAATTCAGGGTCAGAAGCACATTCTTGTACTTATCTGTACTCTGTATGGTTTACATAAAATGAGCCAATATTGTACACCTTCATAAAGTGTGTATAGCATGCCCTTAACATAGATGCACTGCATTTACATGAATGTAACTCCAAGTGTTATCACTGGAATATTAACATCACACTAAAAACTCAGATCTCATTTGTGATGTACATGGCTCTTCTCTTGTTAGGATTTACCCTTCCTTTTCCCTTTGGCTCCACATCTGGACAGGCTGCTAAGAAAGCCAATGCTTCACCTGCATGTTTAAGGCTAACGGGGAATGTCTTCAGCTCCATTGTCAGCATAGGTGACAAGGTATTCAGCCACAGCTCTCAGCAACTAAACAGGTTTACCTATTCCCTGGGCTTTGGGCAAGTATGGCAGACCTGCCTACCACCACTTTGCTCTCCTGAGTTGCTATATGAGTCCAACACTCTCATGGTGTTTTGGTGCGTGCTGTCTCATCATTTACAGCATTTGAATAGGATGACCCCAAACACTTCAGTTCAGAGGAAAAATAAAAGATACAATTGTATAAAATTAATTCCATCATTTTAAAGTCAATTGAAACTGTCAGACAAAAATGTAATGCGGCATCATACCTCTATTATCATTCAGACTTAATTTCCCACCATGGAATTCAGACATCCCTTTTGAAAATGAGGTAGATGCTTGCAGTATAAAATGAAAACAGCCTTTCAAGATAATATTTCATAATTACTGTATTGAATAATTGCCTCAGTTATAAAAGTACAACAGTATCTTCTAATGTATCAAATGGTACATGTGAAACACACACATGTTACGGTGTCTCTTTCCTTCCTACTGCTAGTCCCAGGAAATAAGTGTCTCCTAGGCAACCTCCTAGGCCATAGTTCCCTTTTTGTGAGAAAGCTTCAGAAGAACAGATAGACATAGGTCCCTATGTCCTCTTCAAATCATGAATTAATAAATTGGCAGCTCAGACTCATGTTCAACAGCCTCCCTTGGAGTCACACCTGGCAGCTCTCTGCAGAGATAGAGCTGGGAGATTTTGGCAACACCTCAATTTCTATTTGCTTTATTCATTGTCAACCAAACCAAGCCAAACAAAACAATACAAAAAACCAATGTTCCTCTGCCAGTATGTTCGCCATAATCTGATTCTTTAGTACTTTGGTTGATAGCCTGAATTCTCAGCAAAGTGATTCTTTGTAAAGAGGAAATGGCCCTAACAGAAACATTAGGCTCTTCTTCCTTTGAAGGATCTCCTTCCTTCACTTCCTGTTCTTTGTGCATTCATTTTACAACCAGTGTTAATTTTTTTTCAACATTTTTCTGTCTTCTCTAAACGTGTGCATATTTTAAATGAATAGCCATTTTTCTTTTCTTTTGTTTCAGGAGAGAAAGGGAAACATATGAGGAGAGAAAAAGGATGGGCAAGGTAGACAACATAAACCTCCTCACAGCTGTCTCCTTGTGTAAAGGGTACAGGAGAAATTTGTTTGTTTTATTAATCATTTCGTTTTAAATCAAAGAAGCTGCACAAGACAAACGGAGAATGTCAGCAAGGACGACATGACAAAGAGGCTAATCAACTGTGGCGTGCTTATACCACCGAGGAGGAGAGATGAATGACATAAATTGCTTCTGGGGATGGAGCAGGTAGTGAAACCCAAGCTGGTGACCTGTCCCGGCAGGCCACACGCGGACAGTAAAGAAGAGGAGGGATACAATCGGTACCTAAAATAGTTCATAGTGCAGCAACATATTAACTGTGTATGAATCGTGTCTTTATTAGAAGATAAATATCCTCACATCCAATAGTTCATCTTATGTTCCTCAAATGAGAAACCATGGAACCTATTGTGAGACTTCAGCTGATAGTGTAGTCAATAAATCAAAGGAGAAAGAAACATTTATTTTTTTGTGCCATGTTATATTATAAAACAGGTAAACAGGTGCCTTTATCCCAAAGGCACAACCATGACCATTTAAATTTCACACCCTCCAGTTCTCTACTTGCATAATTGATCTTACAAATAAGATCTCCCCTTACTAGATATCTTTGTCTTTTATAAATACTGCACGTCTCCGTTTTCTGGTCTGAGTTTGCAGCAGTATCAGTAAGAAGGGAAACAAACTTCTGAAAGACGACTGCTCGCACATGCCTTCTCACCCAGCTTTGCCTGACAGTGCAGAGCGGTGCAGTGTTGCACATGGATAGTTACCTTCTTGATGGTCTCCAGCATGGACCGCCCTCCCTGCCAGGGCTTCGAGTTTTTTCTGATACAGGACAAGCTCGCCATGCTGTGCCACTTGCGGTCCTCCAGCTTCTTATGGAAAGCATTTGCGAGCAGAAGCACCGTGTCGTAGATGTAAAGGTTAGAAATCTGGAAAGACATTAGACAGTGCTCATCAGACCCTCCACTTCAGCCATCCACATAGAGAGGGGACAGCTCAGCAGCCCTCTCGTGCCACCCATGCTTGCTTTACTGAGTTACTTACCAAGCAGAAAGTTTCCCTTTTCATTCTTGAGGCTGTTTTGGCACTGAGAACAGGTCTATCTGATTGTATACCTCAATTGCTTCCCCAGATTATTTGGGTATGAAAGAGGAGATTAAAAAGGCGTAGCTTTGACAGAGGCAAGACGACTGTCAGTCTCAGTTCTTAAAAAACCCTTCATTCATTAGAGGCCTTCATTCCTCTCTGAAGAGGCAGACACCCAAGAGATTCAGATTGGAAGGAACATTGAATAATCAGTTTTCTCAATATGTCAAGTTTCTACATTGAGGTTATTCATATGGAATCACTTATCAATGTTGCATCAACTCTGATCTTACATGAGTGTCATAGGATCTCAAGTGAGAAGTAGTCACTTTTGTGTGCTTGTGGAGAAGTCTGTAATACGTAGGACAGTGACAGAAGCATTCACAAACATCAGAATGTCTAGATGCACACAAAGGGCTGTACTGACACATAGACACTCTGACACACTGACAGGACAAATGCCATGAACCAGCCTGTAGCCTGTGCATGTGTGCTGCTACTGTTCTGTCTATAGTCACCACATGTCTTTCTCCTCCGATCAGTACTGAATTACAGCTAAGTTTCCCCCCAAGATCTACTCTAATCCTTAAATAACTTTTGCCAGAACTACTAGTCACACTATCAATTAATTACCAAAGCAGCCTAGTTTTTACAAACAGATTAGAACTCATTTAGAAAGAATGAACATGAAAAGAGGTAAGAAGTCAATGAAAGCTGCCAAATGTTACATTATTGCCTCAAGGAAGGAAAACTTGAAATAAAATAAAACTGAGCAAGAGTTCACCTTGAAGCATTCCAGCTTTCTCAGGTTTTGAAGTGTCACATCATCACAGTTTTTTTTTCCCTGAAAACCAAGGAGAGGCTATGCGATTGTCAGTGATTATAATTAATCAAGAAGGAAATTCACAATGTCGTCCCTGCACATTACACAATGCTGCAGAGATCCAACCATTGGGATAATTAGAGTTTGATGTTATTATGCATAGTCGTTCGACAGATCGTCCCAATAATGCCTGGTGGGTTTCCTTTCACATCTCAGAGAATCTTTAATCTTCTGTGTTTGTTAGGCATCATTTTATGTGTGACTTTATAGAAGTCACACTAGTAGATGTGGGTATTTCTTTGAAGAGTTATGGAAGATGCTTATGTACTCTGTGAGACTGAAGTATTTCTTATAAGGAAATATTAGGATGGGCTGTTGTTACTATCACCCCACGCAGGTAATTATTGGAGGAAGTAGGTTAGATTGGCTGAAATCTACTATGAATGAGGTATGAGATCAGAAGCTAAAAGTAACCTATGAATCCAAATTTATGTCAGAAGCACATTGCAAAGATCTAATAGGAAAATGTTAAAGACACGTGAAAGATGAGTGGGTCATACCCAATAATTCATGGAAATCTTTGGACAGATTTCTCAAAATGACCTTCAAATTGTGCCCTTCCCAGCCTCTCCTGGACCACTCCTCACACCTGCCTCCCAGCCTCTCTTGAACCACTCCTCACACCTGCTTCCCAGACTGTCCTGGACCACTCCCCACACCTGCCTCCCAGACTGTCCTGGACCACTCCCCACACCTGCCTTCCAGCCTGTCCTGGACCACTCCTCACACCTGCCTCCCAGACTGTCCTGGACCACTCCCCACACCTGCCTCCTAGCCTCTTCTGGACCACTCCTCACACCTGCATCCCAGCCTGTCCTGGACCACTCCCCACACCTGCTTCCCAGCCTGTCCTGGACCACTCCCCACACCTGCTTCCCAGACTCTCTTGGACCACTCCTCACACCTGCTTCTCAGCCTCTCTTGGACCACTCCCCACACCTGCTTCCCAGCCTCTCTTGGACCACTCCTCACACCTGCTTCCCAGCCTGTCCTGGACCACTCCCCACACCTGCTTCCCAGCCTCTCTTGGACCACTCCTCACAACTGCTTCCCAGCCTGTCCTGGACCACTCCTCACACCTGCTTCCCAGCCTGTCCTGGACCACTCCTCACACTTGTCTCCCAGCCTCTCTTGGACCACTCTACACACCTGCTTCCCAGCCTGTCCTGGACCACTCCTCACACCTGCTTCCCAGCCTGTCCTTGACCACTCCTCACACTTGTCTTCCAGCCTCTCTTGGACCACTCCCCACACCTGCTTCCCAGCCTCTCTTGGACCACTCCTCACACTTGCCTCCCAGGCTCTCTTGGACCACTCCCCACACCTACTTCCCAGCCTCTCCTGGACCACTCCTCACACCTGCTTTCCTCCATCTTCATCTATATTTGCCTCTCCTTTTGCTTTGAGTGTTCATATGAGTTGGCCTGACAGAGTCCTTCCATGTGCTTTTTCTTTCTCTGAATAGTTAACACCCTTCATATTCTGTTCAAAGGTTACACTGTAGGAGACTCATCCCCAGTAACCCTTCATTCTGCCTGATGATGTAGGCAGTCCTTTAGAAAATCATTCATTCCATGACAGTTTCATAGAGGAATGTGATACACACTAATGCTTGCACACTCTCTTATCCTCTTCCCATCCTGACATCCCATCCTCTTACTGTTGCCAACTGCCTATCCCATTGTTGTTTCTTCTTTGATTCATTGTGTTTAACCAGGACCACTCTCCTGTGCATGGTATGAGGCTATCCACTGAAGCAGGAGAAGCCCTGTCTGTCCCTGAAGACGATGGCTTCTCCTGTCTTGAAGCTCTTGACAGAGTCGCCCTTTATGTGACTCCAAGAACACTCAGTTCATCTCTCTATTAAAAATTGCTGTAGTGCTAACTTTCCTCTAAGGTGGTGAGTGGAGATACATGCTTTATGTCCCTTCTTTTCTGTACTTTTGTTTATTTATTTATTTATTTATTTATTTATTTATTTATTTATTTATTTATTTATTTATTTATTTATATCTCCTCTTGACTTACCAAACAGCCTGGAACATACTTGGCTTCCAATAAACAATTTTCAAAATAAGTCAAGGAATGAGACAAAGAAAGTCAGGTGAATAAGACAGAAGTTAAGACACGAGAAATTTGGCAGGGTTTTCCCATGTCTAACACTGCAGTCAGACAGTATTTTTCATACCTAAGGCATGTTGTCTGAGTAGTGATGCTCATCATAAAGGCAAATGCTTTGATACTGACATGTGATAGATGTCTTCAACCCCTGTCCAGGTCTCTCCATGTGTCTACATCACCAACAGCTGGGCCAGAAATGTGTGCTGAACTTTTCTGACCTGTTGGTTCCCCTAGTCTGTTTCTCCCTCCTCAAGCAAGTACCCTTTCTCCTTTGAGTTTCGTGTTCTCTCAGCTACTTTGTAACACCATCTACTGACCTCACAGTCACTTTATTTTTTGTTTGTTTGTTTGTTTTTCGAGACAGGGTTTCTCCATGTAGCTCTCGAGTGCTGGGAACTCACTTGGTAGCCCAGGCTGGCCTCAAACTCACAGAGATCCACCTGGCTCTGCCTCCTGTGTGCTGGGATTAAAGGTGTGTGCCACTACCACCTGGCTATGGTCACTTTCTTTATGTGGTCTTTGACTCCTCCCACACTGTGATGCCAAGCTGCTTCTCAGCATTTAAAAAGGTGATTTCAGGTTTTATACACGCGCTTATACCTTACCCATGAATGACGGTCTGAAAGTACGAACATACATCACTGCTAACAATTTTACACTCGAGCATCTATTCTTCCCTAACTGATTCACTGATTTTCTACAGTTTTCCTGCCACAACACTTGTTCTCTGACACCAGCAAGCCTCCAGGATCCATCTGCCACTTGCCCTGAAATACCCTCTGCCCTTCTGTTGATCACTGCCGGGTACAGGTTCTAGGCTGCTTGCCATATCACATCTCTTCTTTGTCTGTCTCTTGTTTCTCCTTTCCCTAAAAAGTTTAGTAACTAGAACTGACACATTAATGCAGATGTGAGCTGCCGAGGAGATAGAAGTGGGAGACAATCTCTCTCTTGATCTTGGCAAAGTGCTTTTGACACAGAGTCCGAGACTGTATTAAAGTGGTTCACAGCCGACTTGACTTGCACTGTGATCATATTGAATTTGCCTTCAAAGTAACGATTTTGAGCAGCTGTCAGACCAAGGCTCTTCCACCTAGATTTTATGTAATTGGCTGTGGAACTACTTTATTTCTATGGAATTTCAACCTTAAGGATTATTACAAGTCAATACTAACAATTTTGACCTTGGTTATATAATGCTATTAATCTTTCTCTCATAGGCTTATGTCTTTTACAGTTTTGATCAAGTGGAGATTGACACTCAGAGGACAGAGGCTTGTGAATGACCATGCAGAGGATATGTGCCCAGTCAAGCTTGAAGGCTCTGACTCCACACTTCTCAAACTGACAGGAAAAGAACAGTTGGTGGCAGACTGTAGACACCAGAATCTACTCAGTGCCACAGAATTCACTTAAAGTCCGTTCTAGGTCGATCAAACCTTATAGATTTGATAGACAAATGTAGGTTGTTCAATTTCACTCAGTGACTTAGAGAAAAATATAGTTTGGTTGACAGGTTATTTGAAATATTTTAATGTTATAAAATCTTTAATGCTATAACTTTTTAATTAACTATCTGAAAACATTTTTAGCACTTGAACTTTTTCTATTGACAGAATTTACTGGTGTTTTAACCTTAGGATTGATAATATCTGAGGAGTATCCACCTTGCTGCACTTTTCAATGTCTTCCCTAGTGGTTTCTGAAGAAAATTACCAGGCACCATATAAACCCAATATGTAATGAGTAACACTGGTGGTCCTTCACCATTTATGCAGATTAAAAAACCATCGAGGAAGGTTTATTTTGAGCTTGCTTGTTCTAAAGAAGGCCCTATTTTCCTATGTAAAGTACACAAAACATTTACTAACATATTCTACACCTTATATAAATATGCTGAGTATTATAAATGATTAAAATTTGGTATACTAACTTAAAGGAACTGTTCTCCTTTGTTTTGAAAATGATAATAGTTAGTCTACCTCTAAGACTTTGATCCTCTTGAACAGTTTCCCTTTTCCTCCTGAATCACATTATAATGGTATTGTGATCCCATCTGCTAGGTTACTGATTGCTCTGTACATTATTTGGCAAGCTTTGTTTAAGCCTTGAGGTCTACCCTTAAAATCTCCAACCCCGCGTGTTTTCTAACCCACTGAAGTACTTTTTATAATGACTTCTGCTTGTGCAAAGCCAGCTTTCTATTTCTAAATTGCATTCACAGCCTTAACACTATCAACTGGAAGACAGTTTCTCTTGGAAAAATACAGGGAGCCTTCTTTTTTTCTCTTCATTAGCACCTAATCTAACAAAGCCTCAGCATGCAGGAAGGGCTGCTTCTCTCAAACTCCATTGTTCACATTGTCATTGTTACTTATTGTGCAACTTCAGCTAATCTTGGATTATTCAGTTTTTGATTACTAATTTAAGGTTTATGGGATGTGTCTTCAGTGCTTCCCAAACCTGTCTACCCTTTTTAAATACATTTAAAAGTTAATATCTAGGAGACCACTACACAGGCCCATGGTTCCTCACTCTCTCAGCACATAGATCAGCATGATGGAGAATTCAATTTCTGGCTTTAGTGAGCACCTGGGCCCTCTTTGCACACTTGTCTTCTTAGGCACTATTTTTACCTGGACACTGCAGATGTTGAGCTAAAAGTCAATCTGTGGTCCCACTCACCTGCGTTGCTTTACAGAGCTGAACTGAGTATGCCCTTTTTCCTAAGGAGCTCTCCACCATCAGCCAGTGAGAACCTACGACGGGCTGAGTATGGAGCCCCCTGTGTTTAGTGAAACACTTTAAACTCAAGAGCTCTGAATTCATATTCTTAATTATGTAAATCTTGCCATACAAAAGGGAGGGGTAACTGCAGTTGGGATGTATTTTATGAGAGAAGAATAACAAAAATCAAAACCCCAAATATACCCCACAAAATATACTTCAAACGTTTCTGTCGGTTTTCCTTTTCACCTAGCAAATATTTAGTATAATTCTGTCATACATAAGAAGTAAGTTAATATGTAACAATTTAAAAAAAAAATAAACCTTAATTGTTTTGTTCTCTTTCACCTGTAGATTTGAGAGCAAAATGAAGAAATGTGTAAGGCAGGGTGGTAGGTCTCTACAACCCCTGTCTATCCATCCACTAAGTGTAGGGACCAAGAAAGAGAGATACTTGTTCTCAGTTTAACTAAACTAAGGACTATACTGTTAGGCAAATGCACCTTAATGCTTTCTGTTTTCCATAAAAGGCAGCTGATGATGGTTCTTAAGTGCAGTTTATATTTCCTGCTACTTCTTTGGTCAAGAACAGCTTTGAATATTTCTTAATTTTCTAAATTATTTTATATTTTCGTTCCTACCATTTTCATAGCAATTATGCTCATAATCAGTTATGATGCAAAGAATCCATCACAAATGTAAATTATCAAAGGCACTAACATTTAGACAGACACGTTGAGGCTTCACAGTAGTTTATCTGGAAGAGGCTAAAGCTACCCTCCCTTAAAATCCAGCAAGGAACAGCAAATGCAATAGGCAACAATACTGGTACCACAGGCTTAATACCAGTAAATATGAGGAAACGCTAGGGTAAATGGCAATCTTCTAAATAACCTATAAGTGAAGAAGGGCTGTGGAATTAGCTATCAAAAATGTGGTTTTACAAAATTACCTTATGAGCTATTACAGAAGATAAATTAGTTTTCTAGGGTTATATTTCCACATAGTTCAAACACTTCTAGGTAGTAAAATACTTTCTATACTAAACATTTTGAAGGATTACATTTCTGGGATATTTGATATTTTCCTAATTTGCAAAATTGATGGTGACTAATCTTTGCTGAGATCTAGCACCACCCTTTAAATATTCTCAGTGCTAACACAGCCCTACTGTAGTACACATAGGGACTGCTGTAGCATGAAAGTCTGTTTTTCTGTGAAGCCTTCTACTGACCACGTGTAAGTGAGTGTGTCAAATTGATTCTTTCTTCCTCCTGTCTTTTGTTCAGCTGGAGAACTTCTCCAGGCGCCCTGCTGCTCGGGCCTGCTTCCTCTAACACCAGCTTCCAATTGACAGATTGAGATCTCCGGTACAAGAGAAAAGTATCTGCTAGGATTTTCCTTCAAAAAGAAGAGAAATAGGCTCTGAGGAGGGAGTTGTCTAAAGGACAGGCGCCTGAGTAATTTCGAGAACTTGGTGCTCTCTAGTTTCCAATTCAGGAAATTGTGTTTAATTTGAAATTCTTTCTGTATTTAGGAGAGAGAGAGAGAAGGTAACACTGTCTCTCCTGTGAGTTGGCTATGGGCACACAGCACCACAGCACTCTTTGAACTTTAAATAAGCTTTCTTTCTTTTTTCTTTCTTTTTTTTAAAAGTTGAAGTTCTTCAATCTAGAGATTCTTTTAAAAGAGAATAAATATCCACGTCTTTTATTGCACGGTGTTCAAACAATTCTATTCACTTAATACTTTGAAGTGCAGCATGGGTGTCAATCACAGTCCCCTCTCTAGGAATTGCCTTGTATCTGCTTACTTAGAAGGAAGTAAGATTTCCTCATTGTATTCATATTCAGAAAGTGGGCATTATTTTCAACAATAGGATCAAAGGGATCAAAGACAAAGGCTCTTTGCCATCCCTGCCAAAGGCACTTAGATGCCAGGGAAGGGAACATGCCCAAGAACAATAATGCATGCCATTCCTGTCTAGTGTCACTCAGAGATGTCATCTCAGGCCCCTAAAGATGCTCCCTGGGAGACACCCCGCCCTTTAAAACACACCTCCATATTCTGTGCGAAGGGATCCTTGGGATCACACAGTGTTGAAGAGATTCGATGGTTGCCACGGAAACAGCGCTGACTTATATTCTGGGGGACTGGAAATGTCTGCCGAATAATTGTTAACCTTCCAATGGACCTTCTGACAAGTTCCTGGACATCCACATCATTTATTTCCTAAAAGATAGGAAGTGGAAGAATTAGCAGATTCTTAAATATAATAGCAGAAACACAAAAGAATGGCTGAGCAGTTATCGGGAGGTACAAAGGAATCAGTTGCCCTAACACATGTACTTCATATTTAGCTAGCATTCAAGTGAAAGTTATGTGCATTTATCAAAATGGTGAATTCATTCATACCTGCTTTCTGTTACTTTAAACTGTGAACATGTATGCCTAAACAAGTCTACATGGACCATGTGGCTTAAATATGCTTTACTAAAAGCAATTTAATAACCAATTATGCTCAAAGCATAAGAGAAAAATATTGAAAGTTCACAAAATAAGATTCAATTATAGCTTATGATTCGTTAATATCTTTCATGATATTTTGTGTACCTAGAAAGGGAGACTCAATGTAAGAAGGATCCATGTTTTTCTTAGCAAAAAAAAATTGAGAATTTTACACAAACTAAGCAAAGACATCAGAAGGAGAGACTACTTTAAAATACCTTTTTACTGATATCCACATATGTTTCTTATGCAAGGAATGATTGCTCAGTAACTACTGATGAAAGAATTAACTTCTTGCTGTGGTTGTTACATAAACGTATGAAGTTCTCTTGATTAGCATGGAGTGAATCATGTCAACAAAACCTAGTGCTATGTAAATGAATTTGACTTTGTGTATGTGTGCTTGCCAAACGCTAAGAAATGTATCCTCTATTTCCTTCACCTACATGTAACTATTCTGAAATTAGATATGAAGATTAGGATCAATAACAGATATAGAAATAATAAAAAATGATAGTGCTTTATGTATACACCTGTCTTACTTGGGACTAGAACAAAAGTGACAAACACAAATTTCATTTTCTCAGCAGTCTTTACTAAAGCACCGTGTGCTCTATCATGTCCATTTGGAACCTTTTAAGCCAGTGAAGCTTTTATGACAAGCAGGTTATTGGTGTCAAGTGAGTCTTAATGCAAGGAAAATAAATTATTTGACATGGGATAAGTTATGGACTGCATTCCTGCATATCCAAGGAACCAATACTGAATGACAGAGAAACAGACACCTACAAGTGTTTTCTTTTTTTCCCTCTGTCATGTTAATTACAATTGTTATTCTTTGTGGCAGGTTACCAGAAAACTCATCCACTCTTTATGTTCTTTATCAAATAAAGGTCTTTCTAAAAATAAAATAGCACCTGCCATCAGCTGTATCCACAGTAACATCAGGAAGTTCTAGGTGATTAATCCTTAACACACCATAGACCATGGCTCTCAGCAGTTTAACTGCCCTCCTTCCCTCTTAGTCTATATCATTTCACTGGCCACCTAAACTTTGGCAAAAGTCAGGTACTTCGAATTTCCCATCATTTGCCTACAAAGCAGAATTAAACAGTGTCCAGTCAATTCTATTTTCATATTTGATATTAATCTAAAATCCCTTAAAGTGAATTAATATCAATATTGCTGTGCCATATTTTTCAGTGTTTTAAAATTCCATATTGTATAGCCAGGAAGCTTCATCTAGAAGGTAGTAAAAGATACACTGATTTTTTAAAAAATATATTGTTCTTATTTCCTAAGCAAATAATTATTTACCCAAACTTATCAAACACTACAATCTGCATCTTTACCTCACATGGTAATGAACTGCAAGCCAGCACATTAAAATCAAAATCTGCAAATAATAAATGCCTACTTTGTATCAGACAAAATGCTAGTTCCTTTACCTGGTATTTCATTTTCTTTTAAAAAAAGACAACGAATCACTGCTTAATAACATTTTACAAATAATAACCAAGATGATTCAAAGCTCTTCATTCAGATTATTTTTATTCATGCAAGATTTTAGAAATGTCACAAAGAAGAAAAGAAATGATGTACACTAATTATGTAAGAAGCTACAATTCATTACAGTAATTACTTAGATTAATACCCAAGAATGATAGCAGTGAAAATAGTAAACATACATTATGTTAGCGTTTAGTGATAGTTTTAAAGTAATAAGATCCTCTGTCCCAAGACACCTCCTAAGACCCTCCATCTGGAGACAAACACTCTTCCAGGTCTGTCTACAAAGGCAGAAATAGCTGGTTGCCATCTAAATGTTCCCTAAGATGAAGTTTTCAGTTGTCTAACTTCAAGCAAATCTGAAGAAATGCCAATTTGAATAGAATATATTTTGTGTGTTATTATTTGAGGAAGGAAAATGAAAGTAATTTTCTGAGAGGAAAGAACCTGCCATTCTGTAGGAAACTAACATTTTACTTCCAATTTTAGTTTTGACATCTGATCTCCAAAACAATTTCAAGGTGGTGTGGCAGCTTGGTCAGGACCTACTTCATACTGACTGGAACTTTCTTCTGCTCTCCAAAAGGTGCCCTTCCAGAATGGCAGATACAAGTCATATAAACATTCAATGACAAATGATCTGTTAATCTAAAACACAAATCCTTTCAAAACAGGAAAAAAATTCCCCCAGTAAGTGGCTGTGTTAAATATCAAACTCTTGTGCAAATAGGGTCTATAATGCTCTCTTCTTTCTTTAAGTAACATTTAAATTGTAGGATTTTGAAAACAATCCCATGAGGAAAGAGTCTATGAAAAAGGAATGTCTCTTGAGGCCCCAGCACAGCAAATATGCTAATTGATTTCTACAAAGGGATACAGAAATGTTCTGATTTTTAAGTGCTATGAAGAATCAGAATTGTAACATCGCCCTTGTTGTCTTTGCTTTCATATATTTAAAAATAGACAATTAATACTGTCACAAAAGCAAACAGGTGACTTTTCATTTTTATTTCTTTAGGAACAAAGCATAACATTATTTTCCAAAGACTAATTACAAATAATCATAAATTATTAAGAGTTGAATTAAAATATCCAAGTAAATATTCACTTTACATTAATAGTTGAATATAGTCCGGACTTTGAACTGTGTAAGGCCCATCATGGGAAAAGTCAAAAATTTACCTGATAAGAACACAGCCACAGACATTGCCCAGAACAAATCCTTTATAATTTAGTCATTCCTGAAACCTTGAAGTAGATCAACTTGGGACTGAAATTAATGAAATTGGGTAGATGGAAAGACTTTTCCATATCTATTAAATCAGTTGACAACCTGAACTATATCAATTATTTCAGGAAAAAACAGTTTCTTACTTCTCTTTTCCATTTGTTCTCTCTTTCGTGTTCTTTTATCTCTTCACATCTAATAGAGTTCCCGGATCATAATAAGTATTCAGTAAATTCTGGGAAACGGAAATGTACTGCTTGAACCAATGATAAGGTCTTACTAAACCATCATTCCATAGAATCAGTAGTTGAAGATTTAATATTAGATCTTTAAGGATGCATTGAAAATGATAAATAATCCCGACAGTAAATTTCACTAATAAGATGTTGCAGTCTGTTACAGTGCAGTTTGAAAAGATGGTTTTTTGTTTTTTTTCTAATAGATTTGTGTTCTTCATGCTGTGGCAGAGATGGCCCTGTGACATTTCCAGAAAGTCCAACACTAACATGAAGCACTTTTGAAAACACTATATTGGAATCTGAAATAAAATCAGTAGAAAGAGGAACATAATGGTAATTTCTTGTTTAATTATGAATATAAAGTTTGATTCATCATTAAAGTAGGAAAAAGGGCAAAATAGCTACTATATTTCTCTTTTAAAATTTCAAAACAAGAATCCAAATTCCCAAGCTAAAGGCTTTGTATTTAATGTTTTTAAATGCAGTCCTTACTGACTGAGAATAACGGCTTACTTAAACTTGTTGTAGGTCACTGGGATGATTGGAGGCCAGGGCCAGCATCATCAGGGGCACAGGAGGCTGAGGAGCATCATCACCTCTGAACCAGGTGAGTTCCTACCTAAGTTCTGGCATTTGTTAAACCAACAAAGCATGAAGCCATTTGCTCCAGGGGCCTGAAGGAAGGCTATGACTGATATGGAAAGCCTGCTGTGAGGTGGACCCACTGAGTGCAGGGAGAATAGAAGCAGCATCACCAAGTCCTAACTTGATTGATTGCTCCCTGTGAGCTGGCACAGCCTCTCATTAGTACCAAGTACTTGGTGCAAATTAAAACAAAATGTATTGTTTTTCAAGTTTCTACAGCTTGTGCCATAATGCACAATGTCAACTTTGATTTATAATCCCTCTCTATGAAACTATTGGTGCAATAAGATTAAATAAATTTTTGCAACTTGTTTTAAAATTAGCTGCTTAACCATAGTTATGCAAACTGAACTAAAAAAAAAAAAAGTCACTGTCTCCTGTTCAGTCAAATGGGCATTTGCAAATTGGTGAGGGTTTGTTATTTTGGGAGATATTCAACTTCTTAACAAATTTGAAAAATTCATGTTTTTTTTCCTTTTATTGAAATTGAGGTAAATCATGATTCTTCTATTAATTTTTATAATGGGCATGTAAGTGGAAAAAAATGAGAGAAAGATATGGGTAAAATTTCCTGAAGATGACTTCAAGACAATGAGTTGACTGAATGAAACTGGATAGAAAGAAAGAGCTGACCTTGGGATGCACTGGCTGATAAAACTTTTCCTTGCGAAAATGTTCATTCTTTGTGTTTCTAATTGGCTCAGGTCAAAACAATAGCTGACTGTGACAATGGCACAGACTGTGAACATTTTTTTTGTGGGGGTTCTATACAGTTTTGCCTTGCTAGAGAGAAATGGTACATTCCTCATGGACTAGAAAATACAACCGTGAGTAAAACACAGTAAGGGTTTCAAGACAGTAAACATGAAGCTACCATTGGAAGCATTTATAGCAAAGTCTTCAGAATGAGCAAATAATTGAGGTCTTCTATCACCTTCTGCAGTGCTAATATTGAATGAGTAATTAACTAGTTAGATTTATTTGTTTATTGGATACTTTCTTTTGCAAGGTGGTAGCTAATACATCATCATTGATGTTAGTCTACTCAACTATGTTTGTATAATATAGCTTATAAGACGATGAAAAGGAACTTTCCTCTGAAGTAGGAGTTGACTTTTGAACTCTATCCATGTTCACACTTTCAGAATTCAAGTATCACTGTAAGAGATAACTGAATATGGAAAAAGAAATAATATAAGGGTACCCCAAAAGGTGGAAAAGAATGACCATCCCATTTAAAGGGTTGTATTCATTTGTTTGATTACCCTTTGAGGAGACAAGAATCTACTTTTATCTTCCTAGCTGGCTTTATGGACACAAACAAGTTAGAAGAACCCTGTTTGATCTGCTACTGGAAACCCATGTGGTCTTTAAGAGAAGTTGAGTGTGAGATGAAAACAGGGGTTAGGAGGATTCCTTATTTACAAAGAAAAAGAAATCTACAAAATAAACTAAAGACAACAGAGATTTCAAAAATATAACTGAAAAGGAGAATTATTGAAATAAAACAAACCCCAAAGTAACTGAAGGTTTACACTGGTAAGACTGCTATTAAATACCATTCATTCCACTTAATAATTTTTTGATACTTGGTGGATTTTTTAATATCTTCAAATTTTAGCTTTCTTTTAGAAAAACAAAAATGTGGATGCCTATCTGAAAAGTTATAAAAGCTCACTAAACTCTTCTGACTGTAGGTTTTCTTTCTAGTCTGGTATATAATCATTCAGACAGAAACTTTAGAAGCATGATGAGAAGGTCATTGAAGAGAGATCTTGTGCACCCAGACTGCTTGTAGGAATCTCCAAAAAGAAAAAAAAATGCATAAGAAATATAGTGACAAATCATAGAAGCCAAAAGATTTGCACTCCCAGACCAGATGGGGAGATGGGCTTCAGTATCTTTACCCTGAGCTAAAAAGAGTGAAACCTTGTATAGGAGAAACATTGGAACAGGAGTATTTTATTTTTCTGTTTGGAGAGGATAAGCAATTATGTCCTACAGCCTTCCACTATACCCCTGTCACTTTCCTAATCAATCAAGTTACAGGGGAGTGATGGTGAGGTGTGACAGGAAAAGGTGGCTACTGTGGCAGCCTTTTTTGAGTCACTCTTTAGGATTTGTTAAGACGGCACCTTACTGAATTCTCTTTGTAAACTCCAGGGCAAAAGAGATACACATATAGTACAGGAAGGTTGTGCTAGGTGCAAAGGAAACACCAACTTCTAAGAGAGCAAATGGTAGTCCTAGACTGTAGGAGGATTTCTGGTGGTTAGATAAGAGCCAGCATCCCACAGGAACTTTTTCCTCTGCCAAAAGGAGTCATTTCTCTTACCACTGGCAGAAGAGACAAATGGCCACCTGTGGTGCCTGTTAGCATACAAAGCGCATGCTGGCCTCTAGGTTCCTTCAGTATCAAAAATACTTGTTATGTCATATTTCAAAGTCTATGTTAGCATCCTAGCCCTTTTCCTAACTTAACTCCCTTAAACCTAAACTACCTCCAGCTCACTGGCTTCCCTTCCCACAGCTACTCATTTTCCTTATAAC